TTGGCCAAGTGGCAGCATCGATGGACTCAAGCATGGCAACAGTAGTGAAGTTGGCCCAGGATTGCGCAGTATTTCGTTCTGCTGTGTATAAGGTCACTATGGGTCGGCACTGACTCGATGGCACCTAACAACAACAACAACAACAACAACTAGCAGAGTAACACAGAAAACTAATAGAAATGTGCAAAAGATATTACTACTGAAAGAGGCAAAGCAGGTTGGGGTCCTCTACAAACAAAGAAAACGTTAAGACTGAATGAAAAATTCTATTAAAGGCAGATCAAGTATGAGTGGAACTTCAGCACCCTGAATCCAAATGAATTTTTTTTAAGTTGATTTACTGAAATATTATTCTGTGCCAAATAGGCCTGGTTCTTCCAAAGATTTGCCTTCCTGGTGATCCATGATACTGCAGCTCTAAATAAGTCCTATTTCCATTTCCCTGGAATGTTTCCTTTGCTTCTCAGGAAGAAAAATAGTGTGATTGATAGGGTCCTCTTGGAGAAAGACAAATCATATGGGAAGGCAGAGGAGCACATATAGGGACATATAGGTATGAGTTTATTTTTGATAAAATAATTTATTATAATTTGTAATAGACACAGTAAAACTCTAATGAGGTTTGAACCACAAATCTCTTTACCCTAAAGTGATACCTGAAGCTAATGATTACATTTGAAAATTGTAAAAAACCCCAAGATTTTAAGTCTAAGAGAATCTTCAGTGTACCACATAGCTTTTTACTTTCATGAAATAGCCTCCATGAGGTGAATGAAAATGCCTGTCAAGTTTTCCAATTTACTCTTCAACTCAAATCCTATAAAAGGTCCACGTGTACAGCGTATTTACTCCGTAAAGAAGCAAATAAGAAAAATGGAACCATTCTTACCTGAATCCAAGTTCCTGAAAGTTTCCATCATCACATCTTTGTAGAGTTTCCTCTGAGAAAAGTCCAGCAAGGCCCACTCTTCTTGTGTAAAGTTTACTGTCACATCATCAACAACCACTAAGTCCTAAAACAGCACACATAATCTGAATCAGCAATCTTCCCCAAACTGTGTAAAAAAGCCTGGGTAAGGCTGATATTCCCAGGGCATTGAGAATTCACAGGCAGGTGACACAGGTTGTGTCCTACTCGAGAGTGTGGCCATCAGCCTCATCCCTGGGCTGTCTGCATAGACTGCCTGAGCGCTGGTATCTGACTTCACACTGAGCTGATCTCTCCAGTCTGATGATGAGCCATTCTAATGTTCTTTCTCTGTATAATTATGGTCCATAACATCCAGACGTACAAAGGATGGGAGAAAAATCCTCTACAAATCAAAGATTTACTTTCCACCTTCAAAAGATCATTTCTTTTTTGAGAAAAATTAATTTCACTTCCTTCCAAAACACCCACCAGAATGCTTGGAAACCCTATAAAGGGTCACTATGAGGTGGAACTGACTCGATGGTACTTAACAACAACAAGGATGGCGGATAGGGTTGAGGTGCAGTGAAGTTCACCATCAGCGTTACCACAGAATACCAAGAGAATCAGGTTCAGGACAGAGCTCCAAAACGCTGAACCACATCGGTAGGAATATTTTAAAAGTTTGAAGACTTACAGCTAGTGGAACTTGTAGATAAAGTAAAAAATCATGTACTTTTGAATCTGCCGGGCGCAGTGGCCCGGAACCGACAACTTGGGCGAGACCAAAAGGCAAGGACCAAGTGGGGGAGCAGACCCACAATGGAATAATGTCGTGGGAAGCTCGGAGCAAAGGTGGACAATGCACTTTGTCAGTTTTGCTTTGTTCTGATTTACTTTTTTTTTTTTTTGGTATCTGTTCATTGGCTCCCCACTGTTTGCGCACCAACATTCTGGTGACTATTAGAGTCCTGGTGTGGTCCTGTGGGTTAATGTGCCAGACTGCAAAGTCGTTTGAACTGCAAGGTTGGCAGTTCAAGCTCACCAGCTGATCCTTGGAAACTATACAGGGTCACTATGGATCGGAATCAACTTAACGGCACTTAACAACAACAACAATAATTCTGGTGACTAGAGGGGGTGTCTGAGCAAGTGGACACCCCCACCCCCACCACTGGTGGGTTCTTCTGCCACACATGTACACAGATATTCTCAGCCCAAGAGCCGATTCTGAAATGTTTTTTAATAGGGAAAAGGCCATAACAAGGGGTGTGGAGTGGGAAAGAGAGTTTAAAAACAAAACAGGCTGAAAATTAAATTAAATCCTGAGATGCAGCATAACAACCAACAGTGGCATCTTGAAATCTATCAGGCAGCTATGAAGGCAAGAAGCTGAAAGAGGACATTACAGTCATACTCATATTAGGCTACAGATTTTTTTTCTTTGCCTTTTTCTTCTCTCCCTCCTCTCCTCTTTCTGCGATTATAGACTACAGTATCCAATCTAGTTTTGTTGTTGTTTTTTTGTTTTGTTTTTTTTCTGTTGCTATTTTGCTGTTTTATGCTCCCACTTTTGCCTATGGGAGATTCTTTCTCTCCCTATATTACCCAAGAAGAGATACAACTGCTGCCATATAGTCAAACTACAATCACACTATATAAAACACCAAAATCCAGGCAAAAACCAATACCAACAGCCATACACCAGGGTGGCAGACAACACCTGTGAAAGTTACTCTGAGTTAAGCAATAAATAGAGTGAAAAGGGAAGCCCACATCCTGATCACATCTACCTGGAGGCAATCAGAAAGCATAAAAAATACCAAAACACACACTCAATTAAGTATGAAGGCCACAGATAAACACTAAACATGTCCAAGAAGCAAAAGCACATGTCCAGAAACAAGATAAAATGTCTGAGACAAATGACCTAGAGGTAGACCTGGACTCCATTCTGGAGGAGGGCAAGCCTTGGAAATGCCTGAGAAGGAATTCAGAAAAATTATTATAAAATGTTTCAAAACATTTTACAAGGGAGTTGAGAAAAATAAGGAAGAAGTTAGGAAAGCACTACAGGAACAATCAAATAAGATAGCTACAACATTGGAAACAATTCAAAACCTACAGAAAGAGATCCAAACAATCAATAACAGAATATCAGAAATAGACAATATTCTGAAAGGATAAAAGAGTACAATAGAAGAGATGGAAGGCAGAACTAGTGAGTTGGAAGACAAATCTCTCAATACCACTAAAACAGAGAGCAAATAGAAAAAAGGATTAAAAAAATCTGAAGAAGGTCTAAGATTCATGTTGGACAACATGAAGAGGAATAACTTAAGAATTATAGGCATTCCAAAACAGGAAGAATCAAGATAAAGATTCCACAGAAGAAATAGTTGAAGAACTGCTGGAAGAAAATTTCCCTAACATCCTGAAGAGTGAAAAGATAAACATTCAAGAGGCTCAACAAACCCCAGGAAGGATAGACCCCAAAAGAAAATCACCAAGACATATCATAATCAAGCTCTCCAAAATCAAAGATAAGGAGACACTCTTGAAAGCAGCTAGAGAAAAGAGAAGTGTTACATACAAAGGCAAGCACGTCAGATTAAGCTCAGAGCTCTCAGCAGAAACCACGCAAGCAAGAAGGCAATGGGGAGACATATATAAAATCCTGAAAGAAAAAAACTGCCAACCAAGAATCCTTCATCCAGCAAAGCTGGATCAAATATGACAGTATAATCAAAACATTCCAGGATAAACAGGAGCTAAGGGATTTTTCCAAAGCCAACCCTGTGCTACATCCTAAAGGGAGTTCTATGGACCGAGAACCAACAAGAACAGACACCAACCAGAGATTGACATACGTGGCAGCACTTCCCAGAACTAAATTGACAGAAGGAAGAGTCGAACAAAACTATAAGAACAAACTCAGAGAATCTGGGAGGTCAGTCTGTGATCAAAACAATTACAATATAAAAGAAAGTAAACACGTAGGAACAGAGATCCAGCTGGTGAGAAGGTCAGGTAGATTACAGGATAAAATAGACTGCACTAAATGGAGGGAAAAGTTAATGGAATATTAGGTAACCTCAAAGAAAATTAACACTTCACAACAACAACAAACAAGGAAGACCAGCTAATACCATTATCCAAATTTATGTACCAACCACTAAAGCCAGTGATGATGAAATTGAAAAAGTTCAGTCTGAAATTGATTACACATTAAATAAAGATGTATTGATATTTACTGGTGAATGTAATGTGAAAGTTGTAGGAAGGATCAACACTTGGAAAATACTCCGTTAGTGATCGAAATGATGTTGTAGAGCTCATGACGGAATTTTGCAAGACCAATGAGTTATTCATTGCAAATACCTTTTTTAAACAACATAAAATGCAAGTATATACATGGACCTCACAAGATGGAATCCACAGGAATCAAACTGACTATATCTGTAGGAAGAATAAAGTCCCATATCACCAGCGACAGCAAGGCCAGGGGCAGATTGTGGAATAGACCATCAGTCTATTCAAGCTCAGGTTGAAGCTAAAGCAAATTAAAACAACTACACAATAGTCTAAATGGCACTCTGAGTATATCCTACCTGAATTTACAGATCGTCTCATTAACAGATTTAATGCATTAGACACTACTGACTGAAAACCAGAAGAGTTGCGGGAAGACATCAAGAACATTATCCATGAAGAAAGACAGCAAAAGGTCATTAAGAAGACAGGAGAGAAAAAAGAGAATATGGATGTCAGAAGAGGCTTTGAAACTTGTTCTTGAGCATAGAGAAGCTAAAGCAAATGGAGGAAATGAGGAAGTACAAGAGCAGAACAGAAAATTTCAAAGGACATCCCGAGAAGACAAAGTGTTATAATGAAATGTATAAAGACATGGAGTTAGAACACAAAAAAGGGAAGAACATGCTAAGCATTTCTCAAGTTGAAAATCAGAAGAACAAACAAGTCTTTCTTTGAAGAAGCACAACCAGAATGTTCCTTTGAAATGAGGATGGTGAGACTTTGCCCTGTGAACTGGGCATGTTTCCTTCTGTTGTGTATGGGGTCATTATGCAGCAGAATCAACATGGCAGCACCCAACAACATCATATTCAATGGTGGTTTCCCACTAAGAAGACAAGGATGACTGTTTTCACCACAGCTATTCAACAATGCTCTGGATGTCACAGCCAGAGAAATTAGGCAGGACAAACAAATTGAAAGCATCCTAACCTGAAAGGAAATAAAACTATCTCTATTTTCAGATGATATGATTCTATAGATATAAAATCCACATGAACGCTAATAGACCTAATAAAAGGATTTCATCAAGAGTTTCAGGGTATAACATTAAAATGTAAAAGTCAGTTGTGTTTCTATACATCATTAATGAACACTATGAAAAGAAAAATTAAGAAAATAATCTCATTTATAATAACATTTAAAACAATACTGACAAAATTTTAACTAAGGTGGGGAAACATTTGAACACTGTAAAGTATAAAAATACTGCAGAAAAAAAATTAATGAAGACTTAAATCAGTTAAAACACATTCCATCTTCATGTATTGGAAAACTTGAGATGCAAACACTACTAAAAGTGGTTTAAGCGAGAGTAAGTCAAAAAGTATTGCTAGTAAGGTTCCAGGTTCCATGCATGGGCTTACTCCAAACAAAATGTGTTTAAACATGTGTTTGTGCTCAATCTATGGCTGCAGACAAGTTCTCTCAGTAATTCATTCGTCTAAGTCTTGTTAGCTAAAGGTGCCTTCTAACAAAGGTCAAATCAAAACAGGGGTTTCTGGGGCCACTACTACTGGGCCAATTAAATTCAAGACAGAGAAGTCAGTTCAGAGGGTATGGCGATTCCTGTTTCGCATATATTTTCTCAAAGAAAACAGGATGACAATAGGGCTTATTAAAAAGAATTTTTCAGAAAACACAAAAAAAAACTGTTATTAGTGAGAAAAAAGGTCAGGAAAGTTGTATTAAGAATTTTTTTTGCCCCATCACAGTAATGCAGCTGCTCATTCTTTGAAGGTAGCAAAGGCTGACCTATGAGAATTTTGTTAGAAATCTGAACTTATCTCC